TTGTCATTTTTTTATTTTTCTGTTGCCCTTTTGCAATTCATGATTAATAAAAATAATAAAATGTTACTTACAAATTAAAATCAGAAGAAATTTAACAAAGTTATAAACCGTAGCACCACGAACGTCTAGTCTGGTGTAGTACACCGATAGTGCTACTTGTTCATAGATGGCGTGTATAATTGAATTAAGTCGTATACCGAACAAAAGTCGTATACCGAGCAAAATTTGTTTCGTTCAAACAGGACGTATTCCGAATTGGACGTATTCTAAAGCAGACGTATACCGAGGTTCCACTTTATTTTAAACATTATTAATAATAATGAATACAAGTTTCTAATTGAAGCATACAGAATTTATATGTAATATGTACTCAGTAATGCTACTTAATTAATAATTAAATATGAATTAAACCGGTAATGTTCAAACTACAGATCTAGTTTGCTGTACAATTTACTCCAGTCCATGAAGCTACTTGAAACATCATCTGTAACACAGTCCAAAAAAATTGGTTTTTACACTACATTAATATTAATATTAGAAAGCAAACAATATGCATGAAACAGTAGGCAACAGAAATGTGAATGTTTTTGACTCAGTTAACATGACATAATAGGACAGAAAAGAAATAAAAAAAAACATTATCATTTCTCCAAATTGTTATCCACTGTTAAAGATGTATTATTATTTACTTTTTCCTAATTAACAGTATTTTAAAATTTAAATATGCTGATTGATAATATACAGTCGACCCCCCCTCCTATAAGATAGAGATACGTTCCATTCTTTAGGAATCCGATTTCTTACGAATCCTTCCAATCACAACCCGACACGTATCAAGTTTACGGACTACGGCTGTTTGAAAGATTTTCTTCCATAAAATTAATCGATTCTAGACTAATCCGACTCAACATTTCCAAAATACGTATATATTTTTTGGGAATAATCCGTATAAACTACGCTATAAACAAAAAATTGTAGGATTACTTACCGAGTGTCACCATTCGACATTGCCATTGCTCAACATTGTTTTCGTCGCGGAACAGCTCAGCAAAGAGCGGCCGATTTCTAACAACTTATTTTTCTGTGAAAACTTCGTAGAACTTCGGAGACATCATTAATATAAATAATTTTAATCGCCGTTGAATAAGAAATGTTTCTTTCACAAGAAATGTATAAAATTACAGTACTGTATTAGACTTACGGTACCTAATTTACATACTGACAGACGATAGTTAGCGTAAAAATCTCCGTAGCGTGGCGCCACGCTAGACGGCGGAAATTATATATTTAATTATAACAAAGTTACAATAAGTTAATATATAATTATATATACAGTACCTAATTTATATATAATTAATATATAATTATATGTACAGTACCTAATTTATATATAATTTATATAATACTGTCCAGACGATAGAAATCTCTCCGTAGCGTGGCGCTACGGACGGCGGGAAAGTAGTTCGGCTGCCCGATGACATTTGAGGTGTTTATAGGGAACTTTTACTATTTTTTACGGATACCTGGTAGCAATTTTTTCGTAGTTTTATAGGAATCGTAATTATAGGGACCGTAATTATAGGGGGGTCGACTGTAGTTATACACACACACACACACACACACACACATACACACAGCAACAATAGCAATATAACTTAAATTTTAATGTTTTGGTCTACTTTAAAAGACAATAATCAGGAATAACTGATTCACAAGTTACTGTAATTAACAATATAATGATACAGATAGCAAGGGGATAGCAAGTCCCCTGTAATTTTTCAAAGGAAGGATTTCTCAGAAATAAGCAGAATTCTGCAGTTTCTTCTGAAATTTACTCCCTGATAATTTTTAAGATGATTTCATACTATGCATATCATACATTAGCATGTATCTACAGTAGAGCATCGTTTATCCGAATCAATTTGGGACTGAGGTTGTTCGGATGACTTATTTTTTGAATAACCAATTATGTACGAAAAAATATATTAATCTATCCCATGTTGAAATTTTTTTCCGTTGCATGTCGCTTCGTGTTGAATTTTCGTCGATGTTAAGCCTAACGTAAACTTTTTAAAATAATAATTGTGGCTATTGTATCGTTAAAAGTTATTTCTTTATTTTTTACAAACAAAATAAATATATTGAAAAATATAAAAACAAAAAAAATTATACTTTAGAAATTGATCTAGTATCAAAAACGTTTGATTCAGCATGATACACAGTCCTCAGAAAAATACCACACAAAAGTGCCAGTGCTGCCAGCTAAAACACACACAGCAACAAAAAAAATATTGGAGTAGCCCAAGATATAGCCAAAGGTTTCAATGTCACAACACTAGCGAAAATTTAAATTTGCCGACTGGAATGCTTTCAGTTAACCAACATTTCGGATAATCGATGCTCTACTGTATGTGTGTTGATTTATGGGATTAAGAACTACTACAGGCCCCTAAGTTTTCTCATGACTTTGATAAAAATCCTCATCTCTCCTCTTGACAGCCTTGTATGAAATAATAATGTTGCATGTAAATAATCTGTTTCCAATTTCTGAGGATGTTTTAAACTAGAAATTAATTATGACAATTTCACTTTCAAACAGAAGCTATTTTCAAACATTTATTATGACATCATCACAATACCAGGCTGCAATTTTTAATCATATTCTTAATTTAAAATATATGCTCTCTGCCTCAAATTAGTAATAGCTTGCACTTGTACACCATACTTTTCCTGTTAGCAATAGAGTCATGCCAGTCATCTATCTAACCCCTCTCGGGGGAACATTTTTGAATTGAAATAACATGACTTCCAGTTTGCATCAGAAGTTTGTATATACCTAATCTGGTCTTCCTGCCCCTGAGGTTTCAATATCTGGTCTCGTCTTTCATCTAACTCCATTCTTGAAATTAAGGAAGGACAGACAGATAGACAGATGAATGACAGTGGGAATTTATGTCTACAGTTTTTCAAATTGCAGCCCAATGACATGAATAGTGCAAGTGATGACCAGATATTTTATAAAGTTATTCCAAGAATTTGAAATTCTAAATTTAAAAATAATTCTACGCTGAATGTAGTCAATTCTATATTTTTGAGGACTTAAGATAGAGATAAACTTCCAAACATAATTTTTCATTAATAGAAAAAGGTTTTAAAACAAAGTTTTTTAGTACTTCATTGCTTCTTGTTTTCTCTATTTAAATCTTTGGAAGTAAGCACAAAATTATTATGGGAACTTATCATATAGAACACTGTTGATTCACTATATAGACTTTGTTATATAAAAAGAAAATGTATTTCAGGCTATTCATTCTTCTTTAGCTTTTATTATACATATCTAATGAAACTGAAATGATGT